CCACATGTCACATTGACAACAGTTGGAGTCATGGGTGTCTTTCACTTCTGAAAATCAGATGAATTGGTGAATAAAGTTGAGCTCACAAAAATAAAGGCCACTTTGGAAAAATCTAGGCCACAAACCCTCCCACAGCTCTGACTGGGCTTCTGTGATTCACTGATGCAGTGTAATCCTGCACTGTTTCTAATGGGGGGTTGTGGCTATGTTCCACCAGCCACCCCTTAACTTATAACTCTGTTTCCTTCTTAAAAATATAAGCACTGGGGACTAAATCCTGCAGGACTTATTGTCAGGAAGAGTACAGTAAGCAGGATTTCAATGTATGCGTACCAAAACTATACTGTGGAGGAAATGTTCACTATTTCCCCACATCTGTAATGTAATATAAATAGAGCCATTGAATTCAGTGAGGTTGAACAGTGCTGTCTTGGGATAGACTCTTCCCTTGTGTTCCAAAGTAGATCTGATATCAGTCTCGTTTTTTTTAAAGGATGGTGTACTTACTGTCCTCTAGAGGTATGAACCAGCAGGGTGATTAGCGTAGAAGTAGCTGGGCAGATACAGTTTAAAGCTAGCATAGCATATTTGAACTCCTCTTCACATACAACGTGATCTGTATAAAAGAAGACATAACACAGGATCAGTGCTTTATAAATAGAAAGACTTTATTTTGGGCTGGACTGTCATTTTACAATATGCCCCAAACAAGGAGCAGAATTGAGTTGCTGTGCTCCAGGAATATCCTGAAAGCAAAGTAAACTGTCAGGCATATCCCTTGTGCAGCATGTGTCATGTACTTGGGGGCAGCTAGCCTGTCCTGCCACTTGCCTTGCTGAGGCTAAACTTTATTTTTAGTGAACTAGATCAAATAGAGCAAGTGGAAGTATGTCTCCTTGAACTGGAAATCACATCCCGAGCTTGAAGTGTCGATATGCCATAGTGGGCTGCTGCAGTTAAACTGCCTGGCAACATGTGTGAAATATCACCCCAAAACTGGTAGATGACATCTTGGGTAGAGGTAGACATTTTCTACCAAACTTGTAGTGAATTGGACAAGGGTTTCTCAAGTTACAACAAACTAAAACCAGAGCTCAAAAAGTCATACTGTGTTTGACACTCTGGAGTGAAGAAAGAAAAGAAGTGAGGAGGAGATTATAAGTAATTTACTGGATTGACCTATACTCCAAGACTGCAAACGCATGTGCACGTATTTAATGTTAAATATATGAGTTTTCCCATTTACTTTAGATTAGATGACAGGTGCTTAAAGTTAAGATTGTGGTTGAGTGCTTTCCAGAACTGGAGTTGCTGTGAAGAGAAAAGAATAAGGAGAGCGCTCTGAGATGTCACTTTAACATTTCTACTTTAATAATGAGGGTCTAAGAAAGAATAAGTACTGAAAGCTATTGTGACTTAATTAAGCTCTTTGTAGACTTAGAAGTTTGAAGAGGTTTTGAAAGATAAATACACAAGTAGGTTTTCAAAGATCTCTCGAATATAGCACACTGTGGTAAAAGGAAAAAATCTGAGTTATTGTCCTTCTTCTTGCTCAGCAGCCATTAAAGTGCTTATCTCAAAACCTTGACAGTGAAGAAAGAGAAGAGTATGTCTTTATACATGAACTGCACTCTAGTGGTGGAACAGTTCTGCTGTTTTCCTTGTGGTGTGTCTCAGACACAGCATCATAAGTTACAAAATTATTTCCTGATAGAAAGCAGAAACCAAAATATCTCTATTACATATAGGATACTGTAAAAGGGTGAAAACTCTCAACTCAGTTACTTAGACACTGTCAACTTGACTCTTCTGAAACTGATAAATTTAAAATTATTACTGTTTCTGATAGCATAGCTTTTAAATAATGTGTCCTGATTTAAAAAACTTTAAAAATAAATAATATTCTATTCCCCCTTTGACATATATATGCAAAGGAGACACTGACTAACAAAGGCCAGATTCTGCAGACATTTGGGCACACGGTTGACTTTATGCATGTCAATAATCCATTGAACTCAATGAGAGGACTCATATGTGGAAAGGTAAGCACATGCCTATGTTTTTGCAGAAATCAGAGCATGGCTGACTATGCAAGGAAAGAGTGAAACTGACAATACACAAAGTTCTGTCAAATGTAGAAAGAAACTGAAAGAAATTAAAATATTTTCCCAATAACTTCTTCCAGTCATAGAAATCTTGTGTGCTACTTGTAAGTATAGTAGATATAAAGCTTTCAGAAAGAAATGAGATTTTTTTTTCAAGTTGATCATGTGCTTTTAATGAAACTGAAAAAAACCTACCATTTGGATTCAAAACTAAAGATTTTGCTAAGAGCGTGCAGGGCAAGACATGGTCTACAGTTCAGATAGGATATATTGAAGTTCATGAAAATGATTCAGTAACATAACAGAGGATTATGGAAAGGAATATTGACTTCCTGACACTGAGCACGTGAATACTAGCTCCTACATTTTCAGACTTGAATAGGACTTTGCTACACAACTTCCACTGACCTAAATGCTTTGTCAAGCTTCCTATTTATGAAGATGCTATTGCACAGCATCAAACATTTTTTAAAATAAAAAAAAACAAGAAAAAAAAACTATAGAATGTCCAATAATTTCATACTCTGTGCTTTGAAGCATGCATGGGGGCAAATGAGCATTGTGACCTGACAATGAATAAAAGGAAATGATGATTAGTGGAATACAAATATAAAGTAAATAATATTCAATCTCAAAGTAGTGCTATATTCGTTAGCATATGTTTTTTATGGGGTGGATAAAAAGAGAGAGCTGGCAGTTTTTTGATAATGTTGCTTGTTCTAAAGTTTTATGTAGGGAATATTCTCCTGTGGTTAAAGCAGGGGATGGGGAGTCATGACTCTCTAGACTATTCACAGCTCTGACACTGACTAACAGTGACCTTGGATAATCCAGTTAAGCTTTCTGTGCCTCTATGCATTAGTAAAATAGGGATGATAACCACCTACCTACTTCATAAGAGTGTTTTTGAAGTTTCACAAATTCTTATTTATAAAGTAATTTGAGAACATCAGATGAAAGATTATACATAAGCATAATTACTATCATTAGCACCATTGTTCTCATTTATTGTTCATAATTTCTCATTTCCAAACTACATAATAAAACATCACTACTCCACTCCTCATCAATTCGATAAAATAAACTAAAATGTTCTTTAAAAACATGCACTTGCACAGAGCAACACTAACCTTTGGACTCCTGAATCTAGGGTCTGAATCTAATATATTCTGACATAAAGCAGAGCCTGGGTCTAAAACAATTCCACATGTAGTTAAGTGGAAATATTCAGGATTTATACCAGTAGTATTTGTTTTAAAGAGTCTAACGTGAACCCTTTTTGCCATTTGCAGTTCATTTATGGAAATGATGCATAGCATGGTGGGTCAGAGTGGACTAGGTCTGGAGGCCTCACCGCCCTGCCTCACCCTGTCCCAGAATAGAGCAGGGAGAAGTCCTCCAGGCAGCCTAGAGTGGCTACAGAGGAGCAGCCAATCAGAGGGGCTGCTGGAGTAACCACTAAGGGGCCAGAAGGGCCAGATAAAAAGCAAGGAGCAGACCCTTCAGTTCCTGTGTGGAGCTCGATGAGGGGGCACTGGGTGCCTGGCTGGCTAGATGAGCAGCAAGACCATCGAAAGGTCAGTGCAGGCAGGCAGAGCATGGGGGACTGACCACAGAACATGGCCAGACCAGATGAGGGTACTGAGATGGTCCGTGCTGGTCTGGTTGCAGACTGAGCCCTGGGAGGGCTGCTGAAGAGGATGCCAGCTGACGCTACTAAGATTGGCCCCAGACGGGTGGTTGAAAAAGGCAGTGTCTCTGGGAACAAACCTAAGAGCTACGGCCCCATACCAGGGCTGTGATAAGAACCCAAAAAGGCGGGACAGTGTTTGCAGCTCTGCCAGAAGGCTGAGTTGCTGAAGACCCACCGAGAGAACCGTCGGCTGGGGGGTGCTCAAAAGAGATGGGTGCCACCCTGATGTAAGACCAAAACAACAAAAGCAGGCTCACAACCAACAGAAGGGGGCTGCCCGCAAGAGGTAGGGGCTGCCCCTGGAAAAGAATTGTTTGCAGGCATATCTGCCAGAGAAAGGGGGGACTCGTGAGAGGTGGGTACCAACCCCGTTACACATGGTATAAAGATGGTTACACTAAAATATTTTCACCTGGTGTGGAGAAATGTGGGAGTTGTTGTGGGAAGATTTAAAGTTTGTTTGAAAAATCTGCTGTCTTTAGTAGGAACGGCAGCATTATTTAGACTAACTTCCTTGTGCTCCTCCCTGTCCTCTCTCAGTTGAATCGGTGCTTCTTGCATTCCTCTCTTCAGATCCCCCTCTTCTGTGCTAAACAATCTATGTTTTATTTATTATGAAAATAACTCTGTTGAATTATGCAAATGCTCTTTTCCTTGTAGCTGTTTGGAACATGAGTATATGGACTGTAATTTCAAGCTTGTCTTGGTATTGCATATGGATAGGGAAAAACTGGGTCTAATAATACATTCACCTTATTAGAGGGACAAACTATTTTTCTCTATGCTTCTGGGCTAGATTATGCCTGGCCCATGATGTGCCTGTGCTGTGGGGGGAAGGAGAAGGACTCTCCTCCCTTGTGAAGCCTGTGCCAAGGGTTAGGCAGAATTGCAGGCTCTGTACTCTGGGAAGCACAGGTACTGCAGCCTCCCAGAGTGGGCAGGGAGGAGGCCAGGCCCTGGCTATCCTCACACTCAGGCAGTAGAGCTGCCTGGCCATGTGAGTTAGGGAGGAATAGCCTGGATGAGGAGCTGAGTCCAAATCTGAACTTCCATCCTGCAGGAAATCCTGATAGTTCAACTATTGTTTTCATCCTTAATTGGGATGGCAAATAGACATATAAGAAGAATTCACTGAATGAAACATTCAAAAAGGTTTTAAAAATTGAAACCTTTCATTTTGAGCCTTTTCAACATAAAACTACAGTTCCCTATGGCAGCACTTGGCTTCCTGGAAGTTGTAGTTCACATTCCTGATGCCTCCATTCTCCTCTATGGGCCAGGATCCCTAACTGGACTACTACTGCCATGATGCACCTACAGGTATGCCCCTGACACTCGGTCAGAGTGGAGACTGCATTGTTACAGGAGATGTAGTCCAGCCAACAGCCTGGCCCATAGGGAATGGGCATCAAGCATCCAGACTGTAATTCCCATGAGGCAATGTGTCACCATAGAAAAATACAGTTTAATGTTGAACTCACTCAAAACAAAACATTTTATGTTGGTCCAACAAACCAACATATTTCCATTCAGTCAAACCAACCTGAAATGAAATCTCCTCTTTTGGCTTTTCTGGCAGAAAATGTAAACATTTTGGCAAAAAAAGAATTTTCCATTTTGCAAAATAATTTGATGTTTCAGAATTTTTCATTCCACATCAAACCAAAAATGAGACCATCTGAATCTTTTTTGAGAGAGAGACCCACTCCAGTGGTTAGGGCACTCACTTGCAAAGTGGGAGACCCAGCTTTGTTTTGCCTAATTCTGAGCAGGGACTTGACCCTGGGTCCCCAACATCCCAGGGTGAGTGCCAGGCTA